GTGAAACAGATCACCAGCCCAGGTTGGATGCATGAGACAAGTGCTCAGGGCTGGTGCACTGGGAAGACCCAGGGGGATGGGATGGAGAGGGAGGTGGGAGGGGGGGATCGGGATGGGGAATACATGTAAATCCATGGCTGATTCATGTCAATGTATGGCAAAAACCGCTACAATACTGTAAAGTAATTAGCCTCCAACTAATAAAAATAAGTGGAAAAAAATAGAAATAAAATGAGAACACCACCCAAAAAAAAAAAACAATGGTTGCCTCTAAGAAAGAAAACTAGAGGATACTTTATGGTATATATTTTTGTAGTGCTTGAATTCCTCATCATATGTGAGTATTGATTTTTTTAAAAATAAAATATATATTAAATTTGAAATTTTTTTAACAGTAAAAATATTAAGAATCCATACAGCAAGCATAAGATGATAGGATTTTCCACATACCTCATATATGTGAATTTCCTTAGTTAATAGTTAAAAGACTCACTGTGAAAATTATTTGTTCAAATCTTACATTGACAAGAAATATTAGGATCTCCAGAGGAAAAAACACAAATAGCTATCCATGGCAAAAATAAAACTCATGATCATGTCTTATACTTGGTTTAAACATCTGACTCTTCATTCAATATCAGTAAATCCTTAGTAACATGTGGATTCAAATAAACATCTAAGAAGTTAAAATTATTTGAGTTCACAGTCTGGCTGATAAAAAAGCATTTCAAGGCCTAGGAACACTAAGTTTTCTGTGCCTTGATACCACAACAGAAACAGAAAATCCTCAGGGATACAGAGAATGAATCAGACTTAAAACTTAACGGAATGTGGTTATAGAAGTATTGAAAATAACCCATAAGATAAATTTTATATATTAAAATATTCCTGTTTTATTCTAAGGTGAGAAAAAATGGAAATAACCTAAATGCATATTAATACAGGAACTGTTCAGTTATAGAACATACTGTCAATCAGTATCATGAATTTTCATCATTAAATCTGTGGAGCAACATGGAAATTATTGATATTTAGTGAAACCATAATATGAGACTGCATATATTCCATTATCAAAAATATGTTTCTGTGCCATATTTGTGGTGCTTGACTGTCACAGCTCCAAGAGCAAGGAGCTGAAAAAGCTAAAGACTAAGACTCCTACTGTTCAATCACACACACACACACACACACACACACACACACATTCATACCTCTCTACCAGGCCACCAGAGGCACTGTCATCTCTTTAGGGCTTAACGCGGGAATGGACACATGTCCGCCACATGAAAAACAAAAAACTTGCTAAAATATTGTTGGCATCCTCAACCAAGATGAAATGCCCCAAAATAACTCATATTCTTTCAAGATTAAAACCCTTCTACCTATTTCAACTCAAGCTTGATTTCCAGTTTTCCCCCTTTTGCAAGTGTAACTCCAGGCTTCATCCTCTTCATTAGACCTAAAACCCTGAAACACAAAATACTTCGACTTCCTCTCTGTCAGTTGATAAGAAATAATTTCAAGAATGAGATACAGAAGTTAGGAAGGGGAATCAGTTTAGTTGAGGGAAATATAATTAATTTGTTCATTCATTCAAGAAAAAGGCACTTTGTGCATTGTATGTACCAAATGTGGAGAACACGGCAATAAACAAAATAAACATAGTTCTCATTCATATCTGGGGAAATTAATGCTGAGTTTATTCTGAATACAAACTGAGTTACTGCTGCTGCTGCTGCTGCTGCTGCTAAGTCACTTCAGTTGTGTCCAACTCTGTGAGACCCCACAGATGGCAGCCCACCTGACTCCTCCATCCCTGGGATTCTCCAGGCAAGAATACTGGAGTGGGTTGCCATTTCCTTCTCTAATGCATGCATGCATGCAAAGTCGCTTCAGTTGCTAGGATAATCCTAACAGATAAGCTTATATTTAGACATAAACACAGTTTTCAAAAAAGTGCAGGCAAGAATCATCACAGGATTGGTTTTTGGAAGATAAGCACACAGAAACTGAACAGAGGGGAATCAAAAAGCCTTGAGTAACTGAATGCTTCACTGAGAATAACAATGCAGATTTGATGGAATGTGCAATAAACAAGATGTCAATTTCACAAACTTTGGAGACCTTAGAGGAAGAAGTTTATTCTGATGACTGATAAAGTCTAGAATATATTACACTAGATCAGTGTGAAGGTTGGGTGGACACAGAAGTTGGAGTCCTCAAAGAGGCAGGACCATTAAGTCAGAGGGGTGGAAAAACATTTTCATTTGCCAAAAATTTTCAACACAGGAGCAATTTAAATCAATATGAGAGACCTTGGAATAAATTTTAATAATATTTCCACAGACAAATTCTCTGAAGAAGGAATTCTTTAAAAGAGGATGACATGCCTTAAGAGACCTGAGGGGAGAAAATTCCCATGAATGCAAACAATAACATGGGCTGGAGATGAGCTGAAAGAAAAATTAAAAACTGTAAAAGCTAAGTATATGACTCCCAAAAAACATATTTAAGGGAAAATGTTCTTTTAAAAAAAAAAAAAAAAAACGGTACAGAAAGAACACTGGAAAACTCAGGGGAAAAAAATGGAGCTGAGGAAGACGAGAAAGAACTAATAATCATACCTAATTTGGCTCCAATAATAATATCAAAAAATTTTACTAAAATAATAAATACCATCAAGATGTAAATACTTTGTAGCCACTTGTAATATAATCCTCCCTTCTCTTATTTATCGTGCAACTATAAACAAACTATACATTTGGAGAACATGAAATAATCAAATTAAAAGTACTCCTTTGGGAGGTAACATTGGATGATACTGTTTCAACAACAAAAAGGGCAGCAATAAATGAGAACAAGCCACTCAAAAGAAAAAAGAAATGCAAATTTTCTACATTGACAGAGAAAGTGTGGCTAATGTTACCACAGGATTTAGAGTAGCAAAACTAGGCAGGGGGTACTTCTCAGCAAATCTAATGTTTTTAATACTATTTCAACATTTCTTCTCTGACATCAGTTTTTAAAATTAGGAAATTCCAAAGTTGGTCAGAGAAAATTTAGTAATTGTGTAATTTACTAACTTGGGGCTGGGGGAGGAAAATTTTGTGTTTTATTTCAAAACTTACTTTTTATTAAGAGCCACAATGGATTGAATCTGGTGAAGTATTCCATGTTTTTATGAGGACAAAATGCTATTAAGACCTACAAACAAAATGTATTTTTATTAAAAATGACTAATGTTCAGTGAAAAGTTCAAAGGCTGGAAAAGAAGCACTAAAAAGAGTTTTTAAAACAACAGTTCTGCTCACTCGGTTACTGGAAAAGTCATTTTCATAGTTAACCTTCAGGGCTAAGCAGCAGCTGGAAAAGCAGCATATTCTATAATGCAGTTAGTAAATGTCATGCCCTATTCTTGAAAGAAGCAAAATACGTTACACCCTTAAAGACTGCAAATGACTCCATAACAGCATACAAGATATACAACAGATTTAACACACAATGCATACCACATTAAAAGTTACCTCTCAACCAGATGCAATGTATGGTCACTGGGTGGCTCCTGGATTCAAAAACATAAATAAGTCAATTTTTCCTGTTAGAATTGAAGAAATCTGAATACAGAAATTATACTAAATTAATATTATTAATTAGAAGTTGAATTTCTTAGATTTAACAATGTTTTATATTTAGGAAGGAGAATGTCCTTGTTTGTTAAAGATTCATGCTGAAGCGCCTGGGGGTAGAATGTATGTAACTTACTTTCAAATGCATGTAATTTGTGTGTGTGTGTGTGTATTTGTGTGTGTGTGTGTGTGTGTGTGTCTATAAAGCAAGTGTCTCAAAATGTTCAAAACTTGGTAAATGTAAGGTATATGGACATGAACTGTACTTTCTATATTATTTCAATTTTCTGGAACTTTTTATTTTCTTTCTTTTAAATTATGAAAGTATGAATAATAGCACATTTACAGGAGACTTGGAAAATACAGAACAAAGTTATATATAGTTTCACTATTACAATTATTTTTTAAGTAGATAAATTAAGATTTTTAGTTGAAGTTTCAATATTAAAATTAGTAGAATGAATAGACAGAAAAGTAGAAGATATAGTAGACCTGAAAAGCACTATGAGCCAATTTAACAAAATTAAATTTTATACAATTTTTACACAACAGCAGGATACAAATCCAATTCAAGTTCCCATAGACTATAAACCAGAAGATAGTGGAACATATCCAGGGATGTAAAACAAGGGGCAAAAATTTCAGGGTTCTTTCATCACTGTGGAATTATGTTAGAGATCAATTATCAAAAGATATTTGAAAATAACCCACATGTTTTCAAGAGCAATGTGACATTTACCAAAAGAGACCTTTGACTTAGCCACTGAAAGCCTCAATGAAGATAAAAGACTGAAAAATCACAGAGGGTGATTGCAGAGAAGAAAGCATTTAAATGAGAAATTAATATCAAAGATATTTAAAAATCCCATGTATCTGGAAAGAAAATGTCAACTTTAAATGACGGTGTACCTAAGGAACCATAATAAGGAAAATCAGAAAATATTTGAAACAGGATAGTTTATCAGAAAAAGAAAAGAAAGTTTATCAGAATTTGTTGCATATAGCTGAAACTGCTCACTACAGTTAAATACAAAGTGGAATCTTGAATAATATATGGAAATGAATAATGGACACAAGCATAAAATTTTGTGAAATCTGAAGAAAATCTGTACGTTAATAATAATGTATCACATGCTAATTTCCTGTTCT